TGGAGGGGGAGATGGAAGAGGAGGCTGGAGGGGGAAATGAAAGAGGAGGCTGGAAGGGGAGATGAAAAAGAAGGCTGGAGGGGGAGATGGGAAGGTGGAAGAGGAGACAGGTAACATTCTGCTCTAAGCTATGCCAGCCTGGAAGAAGGCAGTGGTGATTTCAGTACTTGGGGAGAAGGATGAGGACTAGGAAGATTTGGGGTTGACTTTAAGAAGTAGATACCAGAAGGATGTAGGTACCACTCTCTGAGACAGAAAATGAGCCATGTGGATATGGGAGAGTGAAGTCCAGTTGTAGAGATGACAAGGTAAGGTGGTTGTTGGGAGGGATTTGAGTGGGGGTGTAAATGAGGTGTCTCATGGAGATGTATAGTAAGAGAGTGTCTAATGGAGAGGGGAAGAAATAGAGAATTAGTTTTTGCATGGATACAGAGCTTCAGCGATGGTCACACAACAATGTGTGTGATGCTGCAACATTTTCACACTTAAACATGGTTAAACGGGGCCAGGGAGGTGGCTTGGTACATTCAAGTGCTTGCTGCACAAATATGATGGCCTGAGTTTGGGTTTCCAGCTTTCACATAAGAGCCAAGTGTGGCAGATGTATTTGAAATCCTAGTACTAGGGTGTGGGTGAAGACCAGTGGATCCTAGGGGTTCACAGGCTACTTAGTCTGGTCAATGCTGCCAGATGCAGGTTTAGTGACAGAAATTGCCTGAAGCAATTAAGGTGAAGAAGTGATTGAAGTAGGCATCTTGATACCAGCCTCCAGCCTCCACACACACTAGCATATAATGTATCTGACACATACACCACACATCTGTATATGAGTGAGTGCATGTGCACACATACACACACATGCACACACCACACACACATACACACAATGGTTGAAGTGGTAGATTTGATCATATGTGGAACTACAATAACAATGCATATAGATAGGCCTTTCAATTCCAGTTTTCTAGAAGATGAAAGTTTTCCAAGATAGAATATCAAAACTTACTATCAAATGATACTGTATTTCCTCAGGAAACAAACCTTTTATATGATAAAAATTTCTATGCTGAGTTTAGATTCAGAAGTCTCCAAACCTCAAACTCCTTAAAAAAATGAAAGAATAAAACAACACAGTTTAATCATGTAAGATGTGAAGATCCATAAAATCTCTGCCCAAGAGACATTGACAGGGGGTTGAAAAAAGGGTCGGCTGGCTCTCAGTTGAGATTATGGATAATGCCTGTTACGATGTTTATAACTAAAGACACAGTGATAAGGGCTCTCTGGTGTTTTCCATTGCAACAAAGAGAATGGGAACTGGATGGATGTTCTGGTAAAAGAACATTCTAAAACGGATGCTTTTCAAAAACAAAGTCAGGGCTCTCTGGGAATAAACACAAAAATTTGAGGAGAACCCAGAAATGTTTTTTTTTTTTTTAAAAAAAACCATTTAAGTTATGTTTGTATTTGTTTACATATCATTTGTATGTAAGCATTTGTAGGTGACATGCTTCTTCTCTCTCTTTTTAAAAGACTTTTTAGTGTGTGTGTGTGTGTGTGTGTGTGTGTGTGTAGAGGACAGAAGAGGCTGTCAGATCACCTGGAGCTGGAATTACAAGTGGCTATGAGCTGCTCAGTGTGATTGGTGGGATCTGAACCCAGGTCTTCTGTTAGAGCTGCTAGTGCTCTTAGCCCATGAGCCATCTCTTCAGCCTTCCTTCTCTTTTGCTCTCTTTGCTTGCAGAGGTTTTATTATTGGATGGCATTTCCAATGCAGAATGGCCACTGAACACCATGGAGATGTTGAATGAGTGCTACACTTGCCCTGTTTTTATCTACTAAAAAAAAAAAACACTTTAACAGAGAAACAAGCATAAAAGCACCATAGTTAGGGGAAGGAGAAAGTGGGAAGATTTTAGATCGTTCCTTGGAGACATCAGAATACCAAGGGATGCTGATGGCTGCAGTGGAGAGGGATAATGCCATGGTGAGAGCGGGGAGACTTTCCTTCTAATTGTCCTCCCTGCTGATGAGAATGGATTTGAACACTTCCACAGCACTGTTTCAAATCACTCTATTGAGGTGTAATTGACAGGAAAAGTCTTGGTACACACCTTGATGAGTGTAGATGCTTTTAAATCACTTCCTTCAGTAGAAATGTATAATGATTTTAAGTGTCAAGGTTACTTGGTTGCTGTTTGGTTCAATTTTTTTAAATTGAAAAAATAATTCAACTAAAACAAGAATCCATGAGAATAGACATGTAAATCGAGAATTTTTTCTCCCCTATTTTTTCTTTTTCCTTTCCTTCTTTTCATTCCCTCTCTTCCTCCTTTCCTCTTCCTTCCTTCCTTCCTTCCTCCCTCCCTCCCTCCCTCCCTCCCTTCCTTCCTTCCTTCCTTCCTTCCTCCCTTCCTTCCGACAGAGTCTATGTACAGGCTGGCCTTGAACTTGTGATCCTTCTGCTTCTCGATCCCAAATGCTAGATTATAGGGATGCTCATCTACACCAGGCTCTTTCAATACATTTTTAAAAGCTCTTACAATGACAGCATCACACCACATGGATCACTTTCCATGACATTGCTCAATCATTAGGTTGTGAAAATAGAAAATGTGGTCTTGAGAAAGTGGTAGACACATAATAAATTTTAGTTAAACAAATCCATCAGCAAGCATTTATGGAGTGTCTGCTATTCCTACTCCTGTGAAAGAATGTGAAGCTTAGTCTCTGCCCTTAATTGAATGTCTCACATGTTTCTGAAATGGAGGAACTGTCAATCTATCAAAGATTTATGACAATGTTTTTGGTTTGCTTGCTTGCTTATTTGTTTTGCTCAATTTAGTTAATTGGATATGTAGCTCAGGCAGGTCTTCAATTTGTGGATCCATTTGCCTCAGCTTCCTGGCTTCTGGGATTACACATGTGCCCCACTGGCCTATTCAGAATGTTTTTCCAGACAAAGTGATTAAGAATACTACAGGTTCCCAGGACGCACTGAATGGGAAGAGTAGGGTTCTGGTAACAATCCGGGAGGCCATAAATAGCAATGGTACCTTTTCAATAAACAGTGACATTGAAGACTGGCACACCAGGAAGAAACAGGCCCTTCCCTGGTCACAGTCCCAAAAATGTGGACTAAGAAGAAAGACAAATGAACTTGTTTCCTTTCCAATTCCTGTTCAGGCTGTTATCAGTGCTCAGCAGGACTGGTTGGCTCTTCTTCCATCACCAGTAATAAAAACCAGGCCTCCTGTGATCTGCTCGGAACTTAAAGGAACTCAAAACAAGGCTTGCAGACAGAGTCAGTGAGGTGAGGGGGTTAGCCTGGGAAATGAGTCAGCTGCCTCTCTGGCTGGTCTTTCTCTGTCTTGCTTCAGCTCCTGGGCTTTGGCTGCGTTATCTTTGTAGTGTGGCTACGAGGGACTTTACTATCCACAGCCCATCTTCTTCCTGGCGCATTGCTGTTATGAGCTGGCAAAGGAAGGCCCCATTCTGGTCTCTTCGAGAGGAAAGACTCAGCCTTGTCGATCAGACTTAATATTTACTTGGATTCAAGCCTTACCTTGAGGTTGCGCTCAATCCCAACGTAGTCGGCTTCTTCAGGGATCATAACGAAGAGTTCAGCTTCATAGGCTCCCTCTCCTTCATTTCTTGCGTTTATGATGAGCATAAGGTGATTTTCATCCCCGATAATTATCTGATGCTTATCTCTAAAAATGCAGTTTAAAAAGAGTGATTATGCAACTCGACATCACTGGCTTCATGAATCTATTTTAGAAATTTAAATAATGTGTGCCTATAACCTAAGCACTCAAGAGACTGGGATCAAGAGACTGGGATGGGAGAATTGGAAGTTTGAGACCATCCTGAACTATTGAACTACATACCAACAGTCTTTCTCAAAAAAACAAACAAACAAACAAACAAACAAAACACACATAGGAATAAAATAATGATTTAGGAGGAAAAAAAGGAAATGTCAAATGCAAGGCTAGGACAATGAAAGAAGACAGCAGGTCAAGAAGATAGGAAGATTTAAGGGAACAATTTCTGAATGGGAAAGGGTGGGAAAAATGTTCAATGATGTGCAAGCAACTATTTTACAATTTGTTCTAAAAAATAAAACCGATACATATCATTTGTGGATTCCAGTGCTGTGTCCTCCCTCTGTGACCAATTTGAAGCTATCAACACACTGACCAGTCGGCTAACAAAACTCCGGCAAACTTAACATTTGACTTCGGAGCCAGAGTGAGGAGCTCCCAACTCCTTCAAATCACTGAGAACACACATGAGGGAGAGAGTGAGCTGTGGGGAAAGAAAGAGGCTTGTTTAGACAGGGATAGAGGGAGACACGGGGCAACGTGGGCTCGAAGAAGGGAAAGCAGGCAGGCGAAACGGGATCTCAAATGGCTGATAGAGTGCTCTGAAGTATTTTAAGGAAATTTTGTTCACTTTGAACTCCAAATGAAACCAATATTTAGAAACGCCTCTTCCACTTTTGCCTCCCCCCTCAAAGCTATTGCTTTTGACACTTGGTAAATTGTGAACGTCGGGGCAAGTCCCCTTGAGAGATTACCAAGCGGATTCCAAACACTGGCAGTGCAGGAGGAGTTCCTGGGAGAGAGGAGTACAGCCTGCCTTCCACCCAGGGGTGCCTCACCCCTGCTCCTATTTCTTTCCACAACATAACAGTGCAATTACCAGCTCCGGAGTCGGAGTCGGAGTCGGGGCTGCCATTCCTGGCAGCTGTGAAGCCCTTTGTTCTCAGTTGATGTTCTGACACTTTCTGTTCGACTCCCCGGTGTGCCTTTTAAGTCCTCCCCCAAGTAAATTGAAATTAATTTTGTTTTGACAGTTTTAAGGAGGCCTTTGAGTCATGGGGTGCTGCGAAAACAAGTTTGGCTAAGGTGTGGACTGAACTGGCTTGTCTGAACCCTTTCTCCCTTGACTGAGGTAGGTAAATATAACCTGAGCCACACCACACATGAGTTTACTTTCAACAAAAGCACTTTTGCCCCTTACTCTTGCTGAAAGATGAAATGGCCCAGGCAAGATCTCAGGGACACTGTGTCCCTTGACGCTGGTGACAGAGCACTGACCAGATCAGAGGCAAATCCAGAGTGGGACCACTCTCGAGAATTTCACGCATCACTCCCCCTAATCCCCAGTTCTCAGAAGAATATGCTTTCTCAAAAGGAGCTTTAAGTAAACACCCTGTAGACTACCAGGTGTGATGCACGCGTTTATTTATTTAAACTTACGGTCTGGCTGACAGCTTCAGGTCAGGAACACATAGATTGTCTTCTCCACAGTCCACCAGGATGCGAGCCTGTGTCGAGCAAGTGAGGCATCAGAAAGAATGAGAAGACTCACATCGGGTCCTCTCTCTGGAAGATTCTAAAGGATTCCATCAACTAAACCAAAGCTTTTGTTTCACTGCACAGGAGCCTGCCCAACTCCATACTCTGTGACGTTAAGCAACCTCTTTTTTTTTTTTAAAAAAGATTTATTTAGTTATTATGTATACAGTGTTCTGCCTGCATGCCAGACAGAAGAGGGCACGGGATCTCATTACAGATGGTTGTGAGCCATCATGTGGGTGCTGGGAATTGAACTCAGGACCTCTGGAAGAACAACCAATGCTCTTAACCTCTGAGCTATCTCTCCAGCCCCATAACATTTTCTCTTTTTTTGAGACAAGGTCTCTTATATCTATTTTTTTTTTGTTGTTTTTTTTTTGAGACAGGGTTTCTCTGCGTAGCTTTGCGCCTTTCCTGGAGCTCACTTGGTAGCCCAGGCTGGCCTCGAACTCACAGAGATCCGCCTGGCTCTGCCTCCCGAGTGCTGGGATTAAAGGCGTGCACCACCACCGCCCGGCAAGGTCTCTTATATCTTATGCTGGCTTTGAACTTATAGCTGAGGAGGTGGGGGAGGGCCTTAAATTCCTCATCCTCTTGCCTCTCCCCCTTGAGGGCTGAAATTACAAGCAGGCAACACCTTCTCAGTTTATGTGGTGCTGGGGATCAAACCCAGGGATTCCTGCATGCTAGTCCAGCACTCTACCAACTGAGCTACATTCCCAGCCCCAAGCAACCTCTTGATAGAGGCCATTTTATAGCCCGTCTCCAGGTTGTTCTGAAATGTCTGTAGGTGATGCTGACTGGCACTGTTCTTAGGATTGCCGCCTATGTTGCTTTCATTGCTGCTGCATGTGAACACATTAAATCTTCGTTGCACAAAGAGAAAGGCTTCCAAAGTCACAACGAGGGAACATGCTAGGACCATGTCCCGAAGGCTGTATAACTCTGTGCACAGATGGGAATACAAGGGGCTGGCTTTCATCTTCGGGGCACAGGAACGACTCTCTCCAGAGAAGGGTAGAGAAAACGTCTTCAGACCTTTGCCATCAAGGACTTACCTGCTCAGTAACTACGTTGTCCCTGTAGTGGTTCAATATTGGTTTCACTTCTAGGCCATCTTTAAAGGTGGAGTCGTCCAAACTGTAGTTCAAGCTAATGTTGATTGGAGATAATTTATCTCGGAATTCAGTTTCGTCCTAGGAAAAATAATCACCAGCTTACGCCCATGAAATGACTACAAGATATTAGTCTGTGACAAGCAGGTAACCCTGGATTCCCATCAGCATTAGTGAGTGACAGCGTTCACTGCAACAGGCTGAATTGGGTGCTAATATATGTGGTCTGCACTAGTCATCATGATTAAGATATGTTCAGTGATGAAGTCACCTACAGCCAAGGCTTCCCTGGGACACTCTAGAGCAATGCGAGTTAATGACTCTTTCACAGGAGTCGCATATCAGGTATCCTGCAGATCAGATACTTACAATATAATTCATAACAGTAGCAAAATTACAGTTATGAAGTAGCAACAAACTAATTTTTTGTGTGGGAGTCACCACAACATGGGGAACTGTATCAATGTATTAAAGCATTAGGAAGGTTGAGAACCACTGCTCTAGAGGAAATCTTCAGTTACCCCAGACCCTAACACCTGACACCGCATCAGTCAAGTCCCCAAGTAAAACATACACCATAGATGCCAGAGAACACCACGAACGAGGATTATTTGTTTGTTTTGGTGAAGTTGCCAGGAGGTTCTCCGGGGCTCAGAGGAAGACAACATTTTACTTCTTCTTCCCTTCGCTGTTTCTTTTAAGTCATTTCATGAACTTCAAAACACCTTCAGCACTTTTGAAGATGTCTTGGATACAGAAACAGAAGTCCTCCTGGGGTGAGGAGAGAGCATGGGACGCTCAGTTCTAAGCATGCAGCCAGCATCTGGCTCTTCAGCTGTGCTGTCAAGGCTATACTAAGATGGGGGGTAGGGGCTGTGCCTGGCTTCTCATTCTCAAGTGTAGTTGTGAACCTTTGGTGCTTCCTAGGGTTCTCTGTTAACTAAGTCTCTGGTGGGAAGAGAAGACACAGAAATACCGATCACGGGCTAACAACTAGCAGCATGGTGGTGGATAATTGGGTCCCAGACACGTTGAATTTTAAATTTCATGAGAATTTGTAAAAAACACATCACCTTTAAAAACACAATTACAAATTATTTTTCATGAAAGTTTGGTTGTCTTCATGCTTCCCCAAGTCAGCTCTAAGTGCATCCTGATAAAATCTAACAGGACATACTCACATAGGATTAAAAAAAAAATCAAATAAATTGTGTTGAACTTTTATGTATGGGGGAGGGGAGGCAGTTAAAAGTGAAAGTCACCTGAGTTAAGTGCCATTATCAAGGTTCTGTCCGAAACCAAAATGAAGCCTTAGAAATTAATAGCAACAAATCATTGGGTTAGTTGAAGTCAGGGTCAGCAAGAAGTATTCAACCTTCAACTAGAGTTTCCTCCCAGGAAAATGAAAGTAGACAGGTGGGAGTCTGTGGCATGTGTGATGGTTAAGGAGATAGAAATGGTTGGAACTGGAATTTGAATGTGAGAAGCCCCAGAAGGGATTTCTAGAAAACTTACGCGGAGGTAAACGATAAAATCCCGGCAGTGGGAGGATTTCTGCTGCTTCATCACAATGGGGAAGGTGAGATGGGACTGGTGGTTCCGGAGGAAGAGCGTCCGCTTGATGGCTCCTTTTTGCTTCAGGAAATCTAGCTGCACCTCGGCCACCAGGACTAAAGGACAGACAGGGGACAGAGTCAGAGGAGGAAAAGCATTGGGCTAACACAGTGCTGGCAGGGAGGGGTAGGGATTCATGACAAGTTGCTTCTTCAGGAAAACTTTTTCTTTTCATAGTTGGATCAAACAACATATAAGTTGAAGGACTTTTTAAAAGAATACTGTCCAGTATATAACTGTTTTGTGGCTTTGCATGCATGTGTGGTGTATGTGTGTCCACATGCTCATGTGTTTATATGTGCATGTTTGCGTATGTGTGAGTATGCATGCATGTGTGGAAACCAGAGGTTGACACTGGTTGTCTTATTTGATTACCTCCACCCACTTATTTTTTGAGATAGGGTCTCTCGCAGAGCCTGGAGCTCACCAGTTTGGCTAGAGTGGCTGATCAGTGAGGTCTAGGGAGTGCCTGTCTCTACCTTTCCAGCATTCGGGTTACAGAGGCATCCGCCATATTTGGCTTTTATACAGCACTGAGGGTCCAAACTTAGGTCCACATGCATGCACAGCAAGTCCTTTACAACCAAGCTATGTCTCCATATTTTGTAACTTAAATTATGTGTGTGTGTGTGTGTGTGTGTGTGTATGGATGGATGGATATGTATAAAAAGTATCACTTTTCCAACTATTTTTTGATAGCTAATGCCCATGATTAAAATAGTATTAATTAGACAATTTTTAAATGTACAATAGACATTTGAGCTTTAATAAAGGGACCTTTAGTTTTCTAATGTTTGTGCATAGAAACATGTCATGTTTTCTTTGCATAGGACAGCGTAAAAATGAAAATATGCTCACCTATTGTATTTGAAAGGCTCTGGCCTGCTATAGATGCACAGACTCTTAAAGAAAAGCTGTGGGAAAACAGTAGTCAGCAATTTGTTGGTTAGTAAAGTTCTGAATCTGAGATAGGAATCTGATACCCTCCTTCCAGATAAAATGAACACATCATTTCCTTCTATACATGTAATTATATATACATACACATGTGTGTGCACATATACCCCCTCCCCACATACTCCCACCAACTTGACACAATATTAATACAATTGACACAGGTATCCTTTGCATAGGGAGGCAAATCCTTGAAAACACTGGTAGAGATCCAATCAATTGATTAACACCTCACTTTTTTATGCAGCGAATACACATGAAGATCTTCCTTGTGCCATGGAGTAAAGAACTGGGCAGCACAGTGGGGGAAATGCTACGGAAAAGCATGGAGAAGAGCAAAACCCTGCCTCCACTTGAGACACTTGAAATTTTTCAGTGTGACTGGAGCTCCCAGCAAGACGAGGTCAGCTGGTTTGGTTGATGGGTGGCGAACAGGGCTTTGAAGTCCTGGTAAGGCCTGTGAATTTAATCTTAAGCATGAAACAGCATGCTGGTCATAACATCAGTCAGCCACACGGTTGGGCAGAGACTGGAACTCGGCACTTTGCACAAGGAGAGAGAGAGAGCGATGGAGGTGGAGGGAGAGAGAGAGAGAAAGTTAAAGCGGCCGAGTCAAGCCAACTGTACACAGTGATATGGGTATAAAGGCAGTGATAGCTGAATCCAAGACACTCTGTAATTTTGTCTTCAGCATGCACTAGCCGCCATCCAAGAAATGTTTGTGGAGATTGTCCCGTGACCTGAACTTGCCCTGGTTTATGACCATAGACTGGGTGGAAAATACCCCCTTGTTTCCACTTGACTTTATCAAATATTCGCACCTGCCTCCTGAACTAGTCTAACAGCCAGGATGGAGTCAGGACCTATGAGCATTGGTAAGAAAGTAAAGAGATGAGAGAATAGAGGGTTTGCTGATAGTCTTAAAGATTTTACTAATAACATTCTAGTATGATTTGAGTATTTCTGTGGAATTCAAAAGAAGTAAATACTCTCTAATCATGCTTTAATTAGCTGTCAGCATCCTGTGTCAAACGTAACAGAAATGTGTCACATCTGGGATTCATCTATCCCCGTGACCTCAGTCAATGTCTCCCTTCAGGGTAAGTAATTCGCCACACACCATTTAGCCAAAAGTTTCCTGAGATGTCTGTGCTATTACCAGTGTTTATACCACTTCCCCAGAGAAATCACAAACGGCAGCCCACTTCTCCTTCAATTAGAATTATTCATGGAAGGTGGGTAGGAAATTACATCTTTAAATTTTCTGAATTTTTTTCCCCATGCCCAGCTTTTCCATAAGCACTTGGTATGTGTTACCATTGTCTGCTGGCCGATGTTTTACTCACAATTTCTCAGCATAGACAGAGCTTTGGCAAAATAAACCCACATTTATGGTGAAATCATCAATATATAAAATTTAAATGAACTTACATACAGTAATTGCTTTGTACAATGTGAAGCAATATAACTTTCACAAAGGAGTAAGTTATAGTTATGAAAATGGATGTTGAGTCTTTGTTAAGAAGGAAGTCTTTGATAAATGATGTTGTCAGCTGAGGGCTTTATCTTAGTTTGTAAATTATGTCAGAGTACATTTATATTTCTTTCTTAGGTTTCCCTTTCTGTTACTTCAATATCATTAACAATTGGATGAGTTTAACTTTCATTCAAATTTAGTATAATTGCTATAGCCTGCTGAAATATTGCTAGTAGCATTTCAACTTGAACCCACCATGTTAAAGATAGCTCTAGTTAAAATATCTTTTCAAAGTGGCAGCTTTTCTATAGTTCTGTTCTAAACTAAAAAGAAAATTTCAAAATTCTACAGCAGTGGATGGCCACATCCATCCTAAATACAGGAAGATATTTGTTAGCTATATCTACAGATACATAGTAAAGAACCAGCTCCATTCTCAGGTCAATACATAATGATGAATTGTGTCAGGCAAAACTGAAATATGACTTAATGTGAAATATAATTTCAAGCTATGATTTATGTTCAAATTCAGCAAAGCCCATTAGTCTCAACATTTTGATTGAAAAAATAAAACAAAGCCAAACACAAACTACATGAAATCAACTGAGAGCTCACATTGCATACATCTACATGAAACTATTGGCAGACAGGCTGCTATCCACAGAAGGCAGGATAGACACAACACGATCCGATCCTCACACTATTTGCCCCCCATGAGCCAGTGAATAAGGAGCTTGTGGTGTAACTCTGCTCATGGTAGTGTATAATGAGAAATGAGATAAATGTGAAATCTGATTTCAAAACACAAAGCCAGATGGGGGAGATGCTAGCTGGCCCAGGGCTTGCTGTACACGCATGAGGACCTGGATTTGAATCACCAGCATCCAAAGGATGCCCTCCAGGCACAACAGCAGTTATCCCAGTGCTGGGTTTGAGGGTAGGGAAGAGACACAGAGACAGGTGACTCTAGAGCAGTAGTTCTCAACCTATGGATCAAGAGCCCCTTGGTGGTCAAATGACCCTTTCACATGGGTCTCATATCAGATATTCTGTATATTAGATATTTACATTATGATTCATAGCAATAGCAAAATCACAGTTAGGAAGTAGCAATGAAAATAATTTTATGGTTGGGGGTCACCATCACACAAGTAACTGTATTAAAGAGTTGCAGCCCTCAGAAGGTTGAGAACCACTAAGGTTCTAAGCTCTAAGGTTTATGGCTAGCCAGGGTAGCCTAATTGATGAGATCGAGTGAGGTTCAGTGAGAGACTCTCTCTCAAAACTAAGATGGTCATTGATTAAGGAATATACCTGATATCAACCTGTGTCCTCCACACACTTGTGTGCACACACCCATGTGCACATGTGCACACACATATAAATATATGTATATATATATATATATATATATATATGTGTGTGTGTGTGTGTGTGTGTGTGTGTATCATACTCACCACACATGCACAAAATAACAAAGTACAAAGCAAACAATCACTATTTCTAATTTATTTATTTATTATTGTCCATATATGTACTTGATGTGTGTGTGTGTCTTGGGGAGCACACATGTCATGGAGCTCAGGTGGAGATCAGAGGACAATTTTGTAGAATTGATTTACCTTCCACCTTTGCTCAGGTTCTGAGGATTGAACTCAGATCTCAAGGCTTGTGTGGCAAGTGCCTTTACCATCTCATTGGCCAAACTATTACCAATTCAACTCTACTTTAATGATGATTTTATATGATGTCATTCATATCTGAAAAAAACCTCTTTGTTTGAGATTGGAGAAGTAGTTTGTTTTATGTTTATAAATCAGAAAAACATCACTAGTTTTCTCATTAGTAACCAATTATCTTAATATTTAGTATGCTGAATTTCATTTCCTTTTTTCTAACTAAGCAATGCCAACAGCAGATATTTTATACAACCAGACAGCTGACTGCATAACTTGGAAATCCACAGGGAAGGAAGTGAGGAACGCTTTGTGATTGGAGTTTGCAAAAGGGTTTATCTACAGTGCAAGCTCATTCCAAATCAGGGTAATGTCACAGCAATGACACTTCAAGCATTCTGGGTAAACTGCATGGAACATTTATTTCTACAAGAGTCAGCTGTTTGCTTCCTGTCTCAAGTCTGGTTGGTTTGTTGAGGATATGAGGGCACTCTACTACTGAGATATACCCTCAATCCCCAACTTTGTCTTTCAATATTCTGAAACACATGAAAACTTTTGCACTTGAAAATTAAATATCTTCAGAAAAGGATACAATAGACTTAAGTAACAGTAATAGGATAGAATTAAGCAACTGTAGTATAATTTGTCCATAGAACACATTACATTTTATCTTAGTAACATGACTCCAATCAACAAGGAAATGACTGGTGAAGGGAAGGGCATTGGCCAAGGGGCTATTGGCAGTTGATGGCAGTTTGGATGAAAGTAGCTTTTCCTCGGCAGTGTGAATCCTGGTGGGTTTCCAGTGCCCTGGTGGATGACACTAGCCATGCCCATGCATAAATCAGCAGCACTAATTAGACAGAGTGGTTTAAATAAATAACTACAGAAGTATATTGAGTTGTGAGAGAGGGGTGTTGAGGGTCAGGGGGGGATCAGAATGGAGTGAGGGGTGGATATGATCAAGATACATTCTATACATGTATGAAAATTTTCAAAGATTAAAAAAAGTTTTTTCCTGAACAAAAGTAAATGGTCCTATGGTCTTTTGAAAAAGACTCCAATCTCTTTCTTAAATCCATAAAACTAAAACTCTTTAGGGAAAAAAATCATTTATTTCAAAATAAACACATTCTATACTGGAGTGTTGCCATCATGCCTAACAGACTGCAGTGTGGAACCCTGGTTTTGAAGGTGTGAACAGAGGGCTCCTTGGAGACTATGAGAGTCTTAATGCTCACAGCCAAACAGCACTCACAGTTCATTTAGTGCTCACTTAATCACGCCGGGCGGCGGGGAAATGCTGGCTCTCTCACATTCTCTCAGATCAGGTTTTCATTATACTATTTTATGGTTTGAAACCATTTTAAAGTGTGCTCAGGGCATTTCCCAACTACTTTCAAAGGCAGTTAAAGCAGAGGACCGGCCTTCCCACACAGGGAACCCCTCACAACAGGATGTTTTCCAAAGAATTCTTCAGGAACCTGGAACTCTCTGCCCCCTACGCCCACCCCTGTAGGTTTGATTCCCATAGGAACTCCTGTCAAAAGGGCATCAACAACATGCTAAGATGTGCCATAAATAGCTTCTCAGGGTCAAGGCTGGTTTGTTCTTTATTCTGATATTGTCAAGAACTCAACAGTCACCCTGGAAAATGAAGGTGAATCTCAAAGACCTTTGTTGATTTTCCAGAGGAAATGCCCTGATCCCATGGGCCAGCACAATGTCTTCTGCTGCCTGGGATCCTTACACTAACAAATAAACTGGTACTTTTTCTTGGGATGTGTTATAACCCAGTTCCATTTTGTCATTTCATGTGACAGCCCTTAGTCAAAAGCTAGATAAGCCATGTTTCCTACTGTCCCTTTTATCCTTGTCATATCATGGCCACAAGAACAGGTCAGTGTACAAAAATCTCCTTTTTTATAACATTGACCTTCTGTCCAGTCATACATGCCAAGTTACCAAACTGCTATTTTTAGCACATGGAACTAAGTAATCCAGACTAGTTTGTTTATTTTAAAAAAGAGAGACACGATAGCTTTGGAAAGTGGCATCCACAATATATGCAAAAGTTAGAGTCAAGATATTTTGGTGTGTTTTGGGTTTGGTTAACATTTAGTGTGCCAAGAAGTTTGTTTAACTGGGAGTTTCCCAAGTATTTTGGTCTTTTTAAATCTAAGAGCCTGTAGGTTAGAGTACTGGCCTTTGTGTAAACCCACAGTCAGAGCTCAGCATCACATCAGCATTCTTCTGTACATACTGGGTCTCTGCTGCTCAGTCTTGGTCTATAGTCCAGAAACCTGAACATACTCTTGAAGATTTTTCTATATATTCAGTATGCATGACCTCAGGCTCTACCCCAGACTTTCTACACCCAAATCTTTATTTTTTAAATAAATAAGATCTAGATGATTTGACCCCGTGTTAGAATGTGTGTATTACTGGGCTAACTTACCAGGCTACAGGTGTCGGGAATTCTGGAATCTGGCAAGTTTTATTTTCAAGGTTGATAATCATCGGGTGTAGCAGGAGCTGGGCATCCACTGTTACAACTGGCCTTGCTCTGTCGGGAGAAAGCCGGAGCATGAGTGGAACTCATGAATCATGGAGGGGATCTTTCCATGATTAAAGGAACTCTTCTTCTAGAGGTCATTGTCAGCATATCCAGCCTTGCACAATGAATTCTACTCTTGGCATGGACAAGTGGGTACCACACTCAAAGGATCCCCTCAAACCCATCTGAGAGCAGAGAGCTCTGAACAAAGGATGTTGGAGGCCTATCAAACACATTACACCCATTGATTTCTTTATGGAGTAGACTCACTATATTGTGATAATACAGTGTGATTATAACAGCTCCATGATTTTCTGGGAGCCCTATGTCTATATTTGAGGAGACATATATTTTATTTAAAGATTTATTTTATATATATATGCATGCTGGTGACTATGGAATCCAGAGAGGGCATCAGATGTTCTGGAGCTGGAATTTTAGGTAGTGGTGAACCATCCTATGTGGAACATGGAAACCAAACTTGGGTCTTCTGCAGGGACAGCAAGCTCTCTTAACTATTAAGCTACCTCTCCAACCCCAAGACACATCTACTCACAATAAGTACTTGAGGCTTTTGAATTTTGTTGGCTCATTGATAATTTTTCAACTGGACTGGTAATTTGCTACCTAAGCTTTGCAGATTTAAGAACACACGAAAGTGGGTTTATAGAATAATTCCGTACTTCACCCCCAAGAAGCGGTTCTTAA